AAACGAATACCTAATTATCCTCCTCTTACTTTAATATATATATATATATATATATATATATATATTTTTTGAAGAATTAATTGGTAAGATTCTGTTGTTCTTCTTGGCTATTTTTTCCTCTCAATAATTTACTGTCATAATTTCGTGTACACTTTTTATTTTATATCAGTGGGTTCACCATTGTTACGAATGCATGCTTTTTATGCAATGTATAATTTCTTAGTTTGTTTGTTTTAGTTACGTTTATAAATTCATTATAATTTATTTCACGTATCTATTGTTTTCATCGATTCCTTCTTCAAGATCAGAAGACGAAACCAGTCTGTTCGCATCTCCGTTTGCATATCCTCGCCAATTGGAAACAAAGGCGAAATAAAATATTCCCCACAATCGCGCACACGATCTGTGGAACAATCGTTTCGGGCATCGTTTCGTGAGCAGGCAAGCGTTACACCTTGCCTGTCATTTACTCGAATGACTCACCCACGCTTGTTTCCCTGCATAAACTGCCGGCTTTTCCACCGGGTCTTTAAACTCCCTTGCCACGTGCAACGTGTCTTCTAACCGTGAGAAGTGCATTATCGCCGGCCACATCCGTCCATTTCTTCCGTGGCTCTCTATCCGCTCGTCGGATGAAGACGATAACCACCGATCGATTCGACGACCGTACGTACACCTCCTCGAGTAATAAAATGTTAAGTCGAGATTCGATCGTGCATACAAATTTCGAATTCGAGACTTTGGTAATTTGAGGATTAGAATGAATTGTAATTTTATGTTATAGGTAAATCCATAAGTGTCTAAGACCAATAGAAAATTGAGGATTTGAGATTTTAGAAACTTGTGAAAATATGATCGATCCCCGATTATTAAAGGAAAATATTTTTCCCCAATAAATTGAATTGAATTGAGCAACAATTGTGTTTGCTATCTCGTTATAAAGAAACATTGAAAGAGTTAAACATAAAATGGACAGCAATAAGAAGAAAGATTAGTCTAACTGAAAATAAAATATTGACAACTAATCAATGTATCGAAATACATTCGAAAAGGAGGGAACGTTAACATATGGATTCTCATTCATTGGTAATTAATCCTCTGACATAACGATCAGGCAATTTATCGATCCAAGTTGTCATGGTTCATTCATAGAATTCCACGTGGAAACGTAATTTCAAATGTTATTCCCGGCTACGTATTAATTTACAAGGATCATACGTATTCATAATTATTATAAAGCATTAAAGAAAAATTGGAAATTTTGTTTTATATTATAATTATAATCGAAGAAAAAGTTTAAGCTAACTCACCCCAGATTTTTTAAAACGTATCGTTTGAACTGCGGGTACCAAGTGTTGTTACATATGCAATTCAACGGGTCTCTCATACTCTTCACACTTTCTGAATCACTGTTATCACTCGAATTCCTCGCGATCTGTGTCATTTCTTCGATATCCACGATCACATAACCGTCCATAATATTTTCCAAAGCATCGTTGCTCTCCTCGAGTATCCCCTCGTCACTCAAGTTCTTCGTTCTAACCAATTTTTCTTCAGCATTCGCGTATTCGTTCAAAATCTTTCTCGCCTCGTCACTCGAGTTCATTCCAACGAGAGGTTTCGACACGTAAAAATCAGGCTCGTCGTCTGTCATTATCGACATATTCTTATTCATCAGATACTCTTGCGGATCGCTTTCCCCCCCACTTTCTAAAATCTTTTCTTTAATTTCGATCGATTTGAACGAAACTCGCTTCGATGATCTTCTACGACGACGTCTCACGAAAGAAGTCAACATATTTATAGAGAATATTTTTTTCTAATACTCATAATATTCTTCTCCACTTCTCCTCTTTCAATAAATTCCCTTTAAACAAAGGAGGTACAAGTTCGTGAAAGTGTTAAAGGGACGAACGCTTCGATTGTTTCATTTCACGCTCATCGATGTTTCTTTTTTTTGCTTTTTTTTTAGAATTTATCGTTTATAATGTTATTCGTGTGAATGGGACGCGCGAAACAGTGGAACTGAGCTCCCGGCACACAAAGTTTTCTCCTAATGCAAGCACTCGGTGCTCGATCACTCGGAGTAGGGGCACTTACATTTTTCCCCGTACATCCAATCTGATTTCTTCACGCGAATTTTTGGTCAAATATACGTCTATCCTGTCTATATATATCATTCGATGGAAGTCCCTTTTTTGTGTTTTTGAAAATTTTTAGTTATTATTGTTTTTATTTCGATTATATTTATTTATTATATTTATTATCTCGAATTGAATTTTTACTTAAGTGATTTTTTGATAAGATCTCATTGAGATCAAATAGTTAATAATTTGTTTATTTATTCATATTATATATATATATATGTAATTATTTTAATAAAAAAGAATTTTTAGTAATTTCAAACATCATTAATTTGATTTCTATTCGATTTTTCATTAATTTGTCATTATTTTCTGTTTGTTCGTCGTTAAATTATGTGATTTCGTAGAAATTTTTATTAAAAAATGTAGGAATAGATAGAGATAAATATAATTGACTTATAAGACCCGGGAAATCTTGCGTGATTCTGCATACCTAATCATCAATCTCGTCAGTGATACAATTATTAAATGTGATTCTCGTGATTAGACTGACTTTTCCTTCTGGTATTTCCTTTTTCCATTTCCGTGAAAAAATACTACCTGCCTACTCATTGCTTCTATTGTTGATTTACTTCTCTAAACTCGAACTTCCGGGTTTTTTCTGTATTTTGTTCTAAATTTAACCATTTACATAATTGATAAACTTTAAAAGAAATTAATATATGAATGCACGTTTCCTTTTTCCTGATCATTTCATATCGATCAATCGTTATTAAATTTATTAATAAGAAATTTTAAGACGATATAAATAACATTGAGAAAAAATATCTCTTCCTATCTTTTTTAAAACGTGAATATTACGCGATGCATCCGCTCGTGATAATTACAGACCAGTTATTTCAAAGTTTCATCTTATTTAAAAGTTTTTTTTTTATATAATAAATAATGTGTTTCGAAAATAAATATTTTTAAATGATTTAAAATAATTTTCATTGAAATAAGAAAAATAAAAAAGTTGTTAAAATAATTCAAATATATGGACGAAACTGAAAAATAGTAGATTGAATTTTTATCATTGCATAATACATATATATATATATATATACGAGCATTTTACATTCCTCGAATATCAAATCTAAGATATAATTTGTGGGAAAAATGTTATTATTATTACAATTGAAACAGAAGAAATAGAATCACACATATTATTCCTCATCTTCGTTGCTATTTTTTCACTCCATATCACATCTCATTTTTCCCATGACACATTGAGAGATAAACCTCTACGTAATTAGACAACAAGCGAGTAAACGTGATTTTCTCGAGCACAGTTACGAAATCTTATTTTACTCCTCATTAACGCAGTCCGTTATTAAGGGAAACACGTTGACAAATGGTAAATGGGATTTCACACGTATTAAATGTGATTGAAATAATCGTGATACGGTTGAGGTATTCGCATAATAATAACGTAACTTATAATTTAAATAAAAAAAACGCCGATCATTTGCCTTTTGAGGATCATTTTTCATTTGATAGGCAGAAATAAAATTTTCAAAGAAGCAATGGAGGACTATCATCACTTTCAATTATCACCTTTTGTTCCCAAAGGGGGAGCGAAAAAATTCAATCGAACGTTTTTTCCATCATCGTTAAATGGATGAAATATTATACAGAAATTTTGCAAGGTCACAGGGAGTTTCATGGTGGAAAAAAAAATTAT